CCAGTTCTATTCATATTATCGTTTGTGCAAGAGATATCATAGACACTTACTTTATTTCTTCAGGGAATACTATCTTAAAAGATCACTCAATTTTAGGAATTGATGTAGTAACATCATTAAAGTTTATTTTGTATCAAAAAAATCACTTAACTTACAAAGTTATTAAAATTTGTTGGGTATCAAAAAAATCATTCAACTTAAATTTTTATATCAATAAAATCACTCAACTTAAACATTTGTGTTAGTAAAATTATTAAACAAAATTTATCATTAATTTTATTTGTTTCATATAAAATAGACCCAACAAATATATAAAATTAAGAAAACTAATTTAATTTTTTTATGGGAAACTTCTCTAGTGAAACAAATACTTTTTTCTTAATATACTAATTACTAAATAAAAAGAAATAATTAGGAGTTCTATTTATTGGCCCACTAGTGCATATTTTTGAAAATGAACACAAATAAATTATCGATGAAATTTGTATTCACAAATCTAATTAGGACTCATCAGAAAATAAGAGTACTAAAATAATATTTAAAATTAACTGACAGCTTTTCTTTAACAATGCAAAAATTAAACAACAGTGATCTAATAAAACTTGTCTTTTTTGTTTAGTAACTTTTTTCAAAAAAAATAAAAATAAAAATAATTTTATATATCATTGTTCTTCTTCATTGAAATTTAAAATTATTTTGGCATCGTTAATCTTGATCTTTTTTTATAACTTCAATTTTTCAACTTAATTTTTTGCTTTAACTAGTCAATTTTGTGTAGATATTTTTTTTTTGAAATGATAATAATAATATCATAATGCTTACATACTTTAATAAAAGTATGTTATTAAAGTATGTATTTCATTAGTTAAGTTTGTTCCTAAAAGTTAAATAACAACTTTTTAAATTTTTTTATTCATTTATAGGGTTCGTATTTATATGAAACAAACAAAAATAATGATAAATTTTGTTTAATGATTTTACTAACACAAATGTCTAAGTTAAGTGATTTTATTGATATAAAAATCTAAGTTGAGTGATTTTTTTGATACCCAACAAACTTTAAAATTGAGTGATTTTATTGATATAAAAATCTAAGTTGAGTGATTCTTTTGATATAAAACAAACTTTAATGACTTTGCTAAATCAAATTCTTGAAGTTGAGTAATCTTTTAAGATATTAACTTATTGATTTATTTAGAGAAATTTAATTTAACATGAAATTTAAGAAATCAGATTTTTTAAAAACTTCTAATTGAAGTTTTGAATTGACATAATATTTGTGTGACAAGGTGGGTAACTCATGAGTATAATAAAAGTATCATTGTGCATTACGAAAAGTTGTAAATTATACGCTGAATTATATGGATAAGGACTTGAAAATTAATTTTTGAGTGAACAAGAACAAATCTTACACTGAATTATAATATTAATTTTTTATCTTATCCAAAATCTATAGAATCATCATAATATGTTTACTACTTATTTATCATATTTTTTCTTGGATAGGTCTTCAAAACTTCCGTAAGATATGTTGATATTAATTCGTGGCAACCACGTTTAATCAATGCTCAAAATATTCTCTCACTTCATGTTGTAATATGAACACACTAATGACGGCACTCTCTCTCTCGATTATTTTATTTGTTCGCTATATCAAAAATAAATTTTTAAATTATTTTTCATGTCTATTGAAATTATACACCTAATACTATGAAATTTATAGTACTAAATATATACTAATTCGATTATTGAACTTAAAATTACAATGAAAAAGAAAGTTGAATAACTTTATAAAATAAAACGTAAATTACATAGTATACATATATTTAAGCTCGATGGTGAACAAGATCTAAATCTTATTCAACATACAAAAACCAAGTAATGGAAAAGGAATCAACTTCAATGGAATGCAAATTTTGGTCAAGTTTCCAATTTAGAAATCAAATTAAAGTAAATATTATTAAATTATCAATGGGAGGTACTTAAATTAGATGCAACGATGCAAGAACGCGCTATCTATAATACTTCAAAGATTGCAAAGATCACATTAATCGTCATATATAGAAGAATGCAGATTTTGTATATCCTCAAATATTTTCTAATGTTCAAAATTATCAGAAATTAATATAAAAGTATATAAAAAAAATGCTGTGAATAATAAGAAAATAATTAAGATTTGAAATGCGTCTCTATCCTATATATTGTTTAAGATTGTTTTGAAACCTATTTTGGAAAATTTAAGGTATATTACTGTACCAAAACTTCCACTACGAGACAGATTTAAAAAAAGGCTGAATTATAAGAGTCTATTATTCACAATCATATCTTACATGACTATTCTCACGTCCCAATCAAAGTGAAAAGTGTTGTCGTGTTATAAAGTCAGAAATTAATGATTTTAATAAATTGTTAAAAAACATGAAGTAACTGAAATTTATAGAAGCAATAAGAGAGATGAACAGAAATCAATCAATGAAAAAATTAAAATCTGTAAAAACACGTATCAAAATCTGTAAATTTTTAATAGGAAAAAGATCAAGTCCACTGAACTCATAGTGTCCCCTTAAAGAAATTATTTCCCTCTAGTATCCGAGGTTTGATTTTGGAATATCAACAACAGTAAAATACACGAAGTAATTTGTTGTGCAGAAGAAGAAGAAGAGATCAGAAAATTCGTAAGGAAAAATTCTGAAGAGTGAAAAGTATTTATAAGCAAGAGGAACAAGTTCCGAAAGGTTGCAACCCTTTCAGAATCCTCACAACCATTAATGAAACTTTGCAACCTTTCAAATGGTAATGATTGTTCCTGAAAGTTGCAACCTCTCAGAATACTCATGACGGCAATTTTAAATAAAATGAAAAAGTTTTTTTAAATTCAAACGGGTCACGCGCGGATTCGAGTCGGGTCGAGTTAATCAACTAATTGAATGAATTAGCCTTTTAATTTAGTTAAATAAATAAATAATTATATAATTAAAACGAACTTTATCCAAAAAATAATCTCTCAATTATTTGTCGAAGCCGAGCGATGACCACGACGCGAGGGGGACCCCTCTTTTCCAACCCTTTTAACAATTAATAGGAGTGTTTCTATATTTAAATTCTCCTACTTTTCTTTCCACCACCGATGAGGACAAATGCCTTTTCATTAAAACATAAAAAGACTTTTCAAGTTCCTCTCTTTCCCTCTATTTTCCATCAATTCTTGCAACATACCCAACAAAAAAAATATTTACATTGTTGTCAGAACTCTAATCTAGAACTTATGGTTAAGAGTGAAGCACAATTTTCCAATATTCTATAACTCATGTTGATCAGGTCACGAGTTATTAATGCATATATTAGAAATAATAATAACTGTTAGGTAGTGGAGCTTGATTAATATATATAATTATTTACGCGGTTTAACCTTCGCGGTGAGGTTGCCAGGGGGTTATGGGTGTCGGGAGCCCCCCATCCGAAAGCGGGGTTCGGGACAGCGCCCTGACCTAAATTTTAGGTTTTCTTATTTATTCTCTGTAACCAAAAATACTCTGAGTTATTAATATAAATATACCTCACCGCCGTGGAAGTTTACTCATGGGGCTCTAGATCTCTCATCTCTTTTCTCTTGAAAGTTCTTGTATTCTTCAGTCATCTAGTGTGTGTGCATGAATTCGATCCTAACAATAACTTTATACAGAATTTGATTATGTAAATATGAGTGTTTACAGGAAATTAAAAGGAATAAGAAAGGAAGATAATTAAATAACTTAATTAGTTCTTAATATCACCAATTAGATATCAGAATTTTTTTAGTCAAATGGAGTTGTTAATTAGAAGGATAATTAAAGGACATGATTCCATACGGAAATGAAACGATAATCCGAGAAATAAGAATAACATTAATAAATGAGTTATGGATCCTGTGGAAGATCATTACAACCATATTCATCTAAAAAAACAGATTAAACAAAAACTTTAAATCTTAAAAAAAATAAAAAAAATCTTGCAAAAAATCCGACATGTTATCTACATTCAGATACTGTATATATCTATTTAATTTGATTGAGCTACTGAATCTGTTTTTAACAAATAGAGCTGTTGTGAATTCTTAAGAGAGGAAAAAATAGAAATAGTTTCTCCGTTTCAAAATAAGTATTATTTAGCAATAACCATAAAAAAAGTTTTAAAGTAAGTATTATGAGAGGCAGAGCTAGACTTTGTATTTGTATTAGAAAATTAATTGACAGCTTACGGTAAGGAAGTGGCGATGGAAATGAAATTTCTCTTTCTTTTTCTTTTTTTATTTTCAAAAAAAGGAAGCATGTTTTGCAATATTTTTTTTGTTCTAAAATTTAGAACCCAAACTCCTAATTCCGATTCGGTAAGTGTTACCTCAAGGATTCAAGACAAATTAGTATGTTTTTTCTAATTACATTCTTATACTTAATAGTATTTCTCTAGATTATACACAATTACTTTAGATAATATTTTTTGCTTACAATTCATACACTAAAAAAGTAAATAAAAATAATAAAATAATTTATAATCATACCAAATATAATTTTTTTATTTTTTTATTAAACTCCGAATCAAGTCGAACAACATAGAGAAAAGAGAGTATTAATTATGTATTATATTATGGAGAATGTGAAATGACACCAAGAATGACATAACCAAATATTCAACTCAAGATAGGTACAGTACTAATATTGTTAGCTGATATCTTTATAAATATTTTTTTATGACGAAATCAACAAACAAATTATAAAAAAAAATTGTCCACACCTTTCATCCCCTCAACTCTCTCTTTTAATCACAGCATGTAAAGCAAGAAAAACTTATAGTTGTCATACTACTAAAATATGTACTAATAAAACGTATAAAATAATAACACCACGATTTCCATAACAAATACTATTGCTACACGTGATTTTCTTTATCGTCCACTATATAACAATAAAAAACAATGAATTGAGTTAGAAATTAAAACCTCAAAATTTCAAATTTGTTAAACCATGGAAAATACAACTTTCAATAACAACATAATTGGTGATGAAGAAGCACCATTTGAATTTAAGAATCTACTATCTGAAATGTTCACATCTTTACCTAATCAAAATCCCACTACCTCCAATTCATTAGAAAATGTTCCTAAAATTGCATTTTCTTGTTCTTCTCCTTCTTCTAATAATTCATCGTCTTCATCGCAAAATATTATTTCATTTGGGAATAAAGCTGATTCTTTTTTCCTAGAGGATAATGAATTAGATTATGATATGATAACGGAGAAAGTGATAATGAGCAACGTCAACATATCGAATTCATCGATGGCATCTAAGAGGATATGTAGAAGTCCTTTGCAATCTCAAGATCATCTTTTGGCTGAAAGGAAACGTCGTGAAAGGTTCTCCCAACTTTTTGCTCTCTTGGCTAAAGCTATACCGCAACTCAAGAAGGTATGTTGGAATTTCAAATTTAATTTATACTTTTGATTTTTGAATATAACATAAGGATGAACTTTTATCTTTCGCGAAAAGAGGAAAGAGAAAAATTAAAATAGAAAATTTAAAACCCTCGCAAAAGAACTATACCTATAAACCTATGTAACAAAAAGAAAATTACATCTTTTTCTCAAAATGGAAATTATTATTTGTCTAGTTGAATCGAACCTCAAACCTTTCGAGGAACATGATGTGGAGAAGACAGTAGGTTTCAATTCCACTAGTAAATTCCAATTTAGCATTCTTGATGTTGTTGTTAGTGTCAAATATAATCTTTTTTTAATTTGATATTTTTGAGTATACATTCTTGACCAACATATTAGTGATAACTAGTGACCAATTTTGTGTTGAAATTGTTGAAGTCGCTAGCTATACCACAGTCTGAATCAAATTATTACGGTAGAATGCTAGTTAGTTAAGTACTCTTATATATGCTCAGAAGATGCGAGCGGTGGAAATGAAGATATTGAGATGAATGTGTGGACATATTGGGAGTGAATTAAGAATGAGAATATTGAGTCAAAGTGGGAGTGACATTCGTGGTGGACAAGACGAGGGAAGTATGACTGAGATAGTTTGGGCATGTGAAGAAGAGATGTGTGGATGCCCCAGTAAAGAGGTGCGCAGAGGTAGACAGAAGAAGTATTAGGTTAGAGGTGATTGGCATGAAGCATCTTTGGCCTACCGAGGACATGACCTTTAGATAGGAGGGTATGAAGGTCGAATACTAGACTAGAATGTTAGTATGTTGTGGAGGGTTGTTTTTGCTTTTTGAGATTTTAGGTTTGTTGGTGTTTGTCGTTGTACTATCCGTATTATTCTTGCTTATGGTATCTATCATCGTATGTTGTTTAATATATTTCGACTATCACACTATTTTGTTATTTTTGATCCTTTCTATAGTAATCTACACTGTTTTTCTTCTTCTTTATACTTAATTTACTGCTCTCAAGCTGAGTTTTTTTGAAAACAATCACTCTACCTCCACGAGGTAGTAGTACAGTGTGCGTAGATACATTCTACCCTCCTCAGATTTAACTTGTGAGATTTCACGGAATATGTTTCTTTTTGTAGTCCTACTACGAATAATAATGTTTTTATTTATATTGTTTGATGATGCAGTTGGACAAAGCTTCAATTCTTGAAGATGCTATAAAGTACATAGGAGAACTTCAAGAACGTGTTAGTTCTTTAGAGGAAGCTGCTCGGACGATAAAAAGTAGTACAAACTTGATTGAATCAACTCATCCCACACTAGTACACAAACAATATTCTCATGATGATCATGTTGATGATCTTGAATCCAAAAGACATGAGAATATTAATGATATAAAGGTTCAAATTCTGGACAAAAATGTACTCATAGGAATCCATTGCAATAAGCAAATGAGGAGTATTTTCTCTATTATTGCTGGAATAATGGAAAAGCTACATCTTACTATTCACCACATAAGAGTTTCCCCATCCAATCATACTTCTCTTCATTATATCTCCATTCTTGCTGAGGTAATTATTATTTCTCATTCTTCAATTTATAGTTATCACACATTTTTTTAATAACTATGGTAACTTTCCGGTATCTTAATTAATTTTGTGAGATACCTGCAACCTTCTACCAGCAACATGTACCAGGTAACTCTATTCACCAAAGATAGGACAAATGAAAAGAATTGCCTGATATTTATTTTGTCTCCACTGAATTTTGAACCTGAGATAATCATACTTTTGTCAAATCATAGCAACTTTCTAATACTGATAATGACATTCATTATATCCTTGCAGATTGATGAGAATGTTGATATTAAAGTGCAGGATGTTGAAAAGGCGTTTGAATTACATCTTCTTACCATACAAGACTCGACACAAGAATAAATTTGACTTTAAATATGTTCAAGGTCACTCCGATTGGGACAAATTTGTTAGTGTTAAATGAATCCTTTGATTAAATTCATGCTTTAATTTGTACTATTAATATGGATAACAACGTATATATGTATTGCTGGAACTATATATATATATATAAAATATCTTTTTTTGAGCCAAGAATAGTTTGTTGTATTGACATTTCGTTTAACTATTAATTTTTTTTATGAGACATTATTATAAATTATCGATTGAACTTTTGAGACCAATATTATTTGCAATAGTTAATCAGTAATACATGTGACTATTAGATCCAACTGTTAATCAATACTTCTTCTATTCACTTTTATTTGTCGTGTTATATTTTTCGAAAGTTAATTTGACTAATTTTTATAGTTAAATTAGATTACGTTAAATCGATATTTTTTTTAAAAAAAATATATTCAAAAACTATACAAAAGTACTATAAATTGCAATTTTTTACATATCAATAAAGATGAAAATATACATAATAAAATGTTGATCAAAATTCTTATAATTTGACTCTAAAAAAGAAAATCATGACAATTAATTATAGACGGAGGGAGTAATACTTTTGGTTTTGCTATTCTGATTCATAAAAAAATGGAACAACCACAATTGAAATTTATTAAAAAATAAATCAAACATCTCTTTTTTTCAAAAAAGAACAAAAAGCATAATTCATCTTTTCAAACATTGCATAGATTGTGTGATTTTGACTTATTTTACTAAAATGCAGCTAGTACCTATCTGTGATGACAATAATTTTTTTAAATCACGATAAAAATATGTATAAACTGAGCAAAGCTTTAAGTAGTGGCGTAGTCATAAGAGGACAATCGAACATTTTTCTTAAAAAATTATACTAATATATAGATTAATAAAAGATAGTTTTTAAATATATATATATATTAAATCTAGAATATTTTGATAATTTTTTGACTTTATTACTAATTTTACAACTATAGAATCCAAACCTTTAAACGATAGATTCACCAAAAACAATGTGAAGAAACAAATTCTAGTTAAATCCCCTAAAATCTGTGTCCTGTTTCACCAAGCACAATGAATATTATAGTAATTACTCCTAATTTAATACGTTTTTCGAGATTTAATTGGCAACGTTACTCCTATACTTATTTATCCACGTGCTCAAAATGAATTTGCCCTAGTGGGTGGCAAACTCGATAAGTACAAAAAAAAAATATATTACTAAGCTAAATAATGTCTTGAGAAAATAAATTTAATCAGTATATAATGTATGTTAAATAACCTGAATAAAACATAGTTAGATTCATAGAGATCCACGTTACTCATAATACATATATCTAATAAAAACATAAAAGTATGGTGTTTTGTCTGATTTCAATGTGTTAGAATCGAAATAACAAGAATTTAAATATTGATGATTGTAGAGCGTAAAAATAAAGAAAATTAATGCTAAAAACACACTCATAGTATTTTAATATGATTTTATTACCTTTTATAAACTATTTTATTACCTGTCTAATTTTGAAAAAGGTACGGTGGAGAGTAAGTCATAGGTATTTTCTAAGAATGAAAAGGTAATTAATTAAGATAAAATTCTTCTTCTTCTTTTTTCTGTAAAAATTCATTTTTTTTAAATTATTTTATTCTAAACTACTTTATTTCAAAGACTAATTACGCATGTACGTAAAATAAGCATTAATTATATGAAAGATATTTTAATTGAGTGTGTGTATGTCTAAACTAAGCAAATTCACCGACAAGACAATTTGAGCTTCTAGACGCAAAACGACTTGCAACATGGTCGGTCTTTACCACATTAATTTTATTATTTTTTACGATACTAAAATTTAAAATGAACAAATAAAAATAACGAATTTGATATATTTTAATTGGTATTTCGTTAATTCCTTAATCACGAACTACATAATCATTTTTCTTAATTTTCAACTTATCCGACTTAATTCAAAGTATAAGGAATGTAATACATAATTCTTATATTTGTTTAAATTATTATACTAGGAGTTATAATAATTAATCATTTAAAATATTTAAGAAAATATTTTTTAAACTCTTTAAATAGTAATGAAGACGCATAAATTAGACCAAAATACCCCTTCACTAAATAAGATTCGTCATTTCCTGTGCATGCTTTATTTTGTAAATTTAATTTGAGATGAATCTCTATAAAGATACTAATCACCTGCTCATGAACCTTATCAATAAATTAAATACACCAACTTCAAATGACATTATAAGTAGGTTACAAAAGTTCAACTAGGACTTCAAATTAAAAAATGAAACTTAGAACCATTCCTTTAGTATGTTACATTATCTAAGATTTAGAAAAGATCTGATCATCTTATCTTAAGCAAATTTAATTTGTTTTAGCAAGTTGAATCCTAACTAATCATTTCAAAAATTTAGGCTATTCTAATTAAAGGAAAAGGTTATGGTATGAAACTGCTTTAGTATAAAGCATTTCACCTTCAAATTAAAGTGAAAATTTCAGACATAAATATCAAGATTAGTCAACCAAAAGGAAAAGCTTACGAATATGAGTACCCTATTTTATTTTATTTTATTTTGTTTTGTAAAAAGGTATAGAAAAGTTAAAGTATTCTTTTCTTATTGATTGCGTAATTAAACAATCATAAAGTTTGTTTTCCTATAGAAGAAAAATACCCAACCCCAACCCCTACCCCACCACACAAAGAAAAAAGGGAAGATAAAAAAAAATTTTATTTTTTTTTTGTTTGATTTATAATTTAAATGAATATTTTTTTTATAACTTTTAATTTTATGTTTCTACGTGATATGTTTGATGTAATAAGATAAGAAGGAAACGAATATCACAAATTTCGTTTTCAATTTATTTGTCTTTTATTTTTTTTTAGCTCATTTCAAAATGAACGCTTTTTTCATTTTTGATAACTCTTTATTTTCATCTTTCTAAATTATCATATTTAAAGTCATAAGATTTAATTAATTTTGATATACATATATTTTTAATTTATAGCTATGAAATTCAAAAATTCGCGTCAAATCAAAATCAGAAAAACAAATTCAACAACATACAATTTCTCTTTATATATTTTCCTTCTTTCAAACATCCTAAAGAAAGAATGAAACATTTTTCAAATGTGGATGGACTAAAAACTTTGACATATTTAGGGTACAGGTTCTGGAAGATGTTTAAATGGGGAGGAAATGGAAGAGCCTTCTCTTTGACTAAATTTATGTTCATGATGAGTTATTACTAATATTAATTAATTAATACATTAATTAATTAATTGAATTAGTGAGGATGAAAAGATGACAGCTTTTCACACGTGGTATAAATATATAAAATATATATTATTTTAATTGGACACTTTGGAAAAAAATAATCAGTATTATTTCTATTCATCTCTTTTAATTTTTTTTTTAGGGTGGGGTGGTAGTGAGCTATTCAATGGAGACCTAATCCTTGATACCTTTCCTTGAGAAAGTATACACGGTTAAGTCTTTGAGTAAAATTTTTGTCTTTCGTAATGGAAAGTAATTATTACGATTCTTTTCAAGTAAGTTCATTAAATTTCAATTCTTTTTTTATTATATCGATCTATATTATTGTTGTTTGTTGATACTCAAGTTAATTAGTTGTTGAAAAATCTCATTTTGAAAGATGAAGCGTTTTTACTACAATTTCAATTTGGAAGCTCAAATAATGTACTTACAATTTCTTGTGTAAATGTTTAATCTCTTCAAAAATCTAGTAATTAGTTTGCATTTCACTAAAATTAGAACACCATTTTAGAAAGAAGAAAAAAGCTAGAAGAAAGAAGAGAAAATGGTACTACATTATTGTAAGGATAATTAATAAGGTCAATAAATGCAACTAAAAGTTCATTAATACTAATTACTCTTTACAACCTTATATCCTTTAATTTGATTTTTGTTTCCTTTTCTCTTAGGGCATGGAATATAGTGGTAATTATAACTATGAAGATGAGAGCTTCTTTGAATTCAAGCCAAATATTTCTCAAGGTATCTATGATTTATCAAGTGCTTACAACACAAATATTGAAGAAAAAAGTGGTCAAAAGTCAATTTCTTCTAATAATTCTTCCTCTAATTCTGGGGGATTTCTCATTTCATTTTCTTCAAATCAAGAAGAAGATATTGGTGCAATGATAAGCTCAGAAAATTCATGCCAAGAATCATTTTTATTAGGGGAAAATAATAATAACAATAATAATAATAATAATGTTATGTATAAGAGGAGTCCACAACAAGCACAAGATCATGTTATTGCAGAGAGGAAGAGGAGAGAAAAAATGGGAGACCTTTTCATCTCTTTGTCAAAGATTGTACCTGGTCTTAAGAAGGTAAACTTCTTTTCTTTTATCCTCTGTCTTTCTAGTTTTGACGTAACTGATAAAATTACTTTCATATAATTAGGATTGAGGTCATATAGTCGAATTGTAAAAATAAACTATTGCATAAATATCTGGTAAGACTATATGTGCAATAAACTCAATCTTGTGATTTGACTTTTTTTCAAACTTCACATAGCAAAAATTTAGTGTATCAAAATGCATTTTTCTTTCCTAACTCCCAACACTAGTGACTCACAATCATTTGTGATAACTTTTGATTAAAAGTAAAATAATTGTAGAATAAATTAATAAAAAGTCTAGTGATTCGACGACATCTATATATCATATATACAACATGAAAAACCAAATAAATTTGAAACCCTTGGCCCTCTAGCTCTCACCTCTGCTTTCGAACTAGTATCTTAACTAGCGAGACTATGAATAAAAAGAATTCATACAGTCAATTAAACATGCTTGAATAAAGAGAGTAATAGAGTAAATAATTATTTTCTATCTTCCTTTCAAAAAATATTTTTTTTAAAAAGGAAAAAAAATGAAAATGGTGAAAAGGCGATATATTCTTTTAAATAATTGTAGTACTTTGTAATTTCCGAAGACTTTTGAAAAAAAAAACATTTGGGTTCTCAAAATACAAATAGCAAGTGTTATAAGCATTAGTCTGTGGCATGGCTACATAGACTAAAGGGTGATCGATTGAATATCAAAAATTCTATAATTATATTTTATAAGTATATAAAAATAATAGTGTATTTATTCGAAAATATTTTTTTTTTAGATAGAAGTGAATAAGTAGATCATGTATTTTTAGGTTTCAGTTTATAGATCACTTGATACACAAATATGATTGTATATTTTTTTTTGTGTGTGTTTTATAGTTAGATAAATCATCTATCCTTGGAGATACGATTGAGTACATGAAAGAGCTTCAAGAACAAGTAAAACTTCTTGAAGAGTCAAAGAAAAACACATCATCATCTTTGGAACATAATGATTCTAACAAGGAACAAGTATTAGGATCAAACAAGATTAAGGTAAGGATTATGGACAAAAATGTACTTATTAACATACATTGCAACAAACAAGATGGAATGTTGGGAAGATTGCTAGTCCAAATGGAGCAATTGCATCTTTCAGTCCATGACATGAGGATTATGCCTTTTGGTCCTACTAATCTTGAAATATCACTTCTTGCTCAGGTACTTTAATTTATAATTAACACTCTTAATCTTCAATTAAGTATGACATCTACTGCAAAATTAACCATAATTTTGTTTCTACCTACTATTGAACAATTGACACTAGATTTTTGAGGTCTCAACAACTTTACAACAACTTGATACCTTAAAAGACAAAACTCCAGAGATATAAAACTAAAATAACCCATGAGTTGTTTTAAAGAGTGATCATCCATTTTTTAATATTGCATGGCAGTCATAAAATTATTCTCTTATAACCCAAAAAAAACAACTCAACTATACTCAGGTGGGGTCTGATCAAGGTGAGGTCATGTAATCTGACCTTAGTAATCCTACCTTTGTGGTGTAGGGAGTTGGCTATTTCGATAAATTTATGGCTCAAGTAAATTATTATTTTAGAATAGGTGAAAGAAATGGAAGAATAAAAAGTTGGGATGAAAATATTGAAGAAATAGAAGTACCGATAGTAAAATAGTAAAGATAACTCCTGATAAAATAAAATAGTAAAGAAAATTAAAGTTATAGAAATAACACTAGTAATGAAATTGAATGATATGATAATACTAGCAATAATAATAAGAATGGTATTGAAACATATATGTGTTCTAGACTACTTATTAACCGTCTATTGTAATTTTCGATCTTCATGTTCCCTAATCTAACTAGGGTCATATCCTCGGTGAGTAGAAGATATGCAATGTCTTGTCTAAATATCTCTCCCCAATTCGTCCTACACCTATGTACTTCTATTTCTCCTCAAGCTTATCACTTTTTAGCCTCTTGCACCTTTTCATTGGGCATTTGTTCTCTGTCATCTTTCACGTGTCAGAACCATCTCAATGTCCTTTCCAAGATCTTGTCCATCTTAGATTACTCTCATCTTGCCTCTTATATTTTCGTTTTTAATTTTATTCATTCTTAGTATATGTGCTCATACATAATTGAAACATCCTCATCTTTACTATTTTCATTTTTTGAATGTGCAAATTTTTGACTGGCCAATATTCCACCCTCTACAACATAGTCACTCTAACAATCATTCTATAAAACTCATCTTGAAGTCTCCTTGCCAGAATCTCAACGGCTAGTGACGCTCCAAATCACAAAAAATAATTCAATTATCACTATGCAAATGATTAATCATAATTTTTTATCGTTAAATAATTCATAGCTAACATATATTTTTTATAAGTATACGCTAATGCTTGAGTCCTTTTTTTAGAATTTTTTTTTAGAAAATGTGAACTACTATGGTCCTAAAACACTGGTTCTCACTTCGTCAACTCACCTTATGTATTATCCTTGTTACAACTTACACCACTTTAAAGAAAAATACCATTTTTATACCCACTTTTTTAAAAAATAATAAATCACATGATATACCACATGGTGGAAAACATCGGGTAATAGATTGGTTCAGAAAATGAGTTCTTTTTAAGGACTTATTGACACATAGCTATATAGTTAAATGAAGATTCTATACGTGATAACCTACTTGTATTTTTCTTTAACCTTATTATAATCTGTGATATATGAGCATTGCTGAGTTATATTTTGTCACAAATATTAGTTTTTTTACATATATGTACAAATGCGATAGAAAATTTAAATGATTATCGACGAAATTATCCAAATGCAATAATATAGGCTTTATACATGAGTTCGAAGCCTAAAGGGTATAAAATGTTAATAAAAATTTCAAAATGGAATATTAAGCAAAACAGCAAAATCGCTGGAATAGCAGCGATTTTCTCCGCTGGAAAAAGCAAAATCGTTGCTACACCAGCGATTTAGCAAAATATGATTTTTTTTAACAAAAAAAAATTAAAAAAGCAGCGATTTTGTTGCAATTTTGAAAAAATTAAATCGCAGCAGCGACTTTTAAATGATTTTTTTTTAATAAAACGCTCCACCTAGAGCGATTTACCTTTCTTTTTTTTTAATTGAAAAATACAAAAACAAATTTTGCTAAATCGCTGCTGTAGTAGCTATTTTGCCTTTTTCGGCGGAGAAAATCACTGTTATTCCAATAATTTTGCCGTTCTGATTAATATAAAATTTCATATACAATTTTAAAATTTTTATTAACATTTTATACCCTTTAAGTTCCGAACTCCTTTATAAATAGCAAAAAACACATCATCATTTGTTTATTTGAACTACTTGCAGATGGAGGATGGATGCTGCATAAATGTAGAGGATATTGTAAAGGCCATCCAAATCAACATCCTGGACCTCGTAAATAATTAAAACACATACACATTTTAAATTACCTATATGTATAATTAATTGAGGGATCTTTGCAGATTAATGTGTGATACTTAATTTCCTCTTCCTTTTAGTATGTATTTTTCTTTGTGGCAAAATTCCTTATATATATACACTGGACGAAAAATTAATTTACTTAAGTTTGGCATTTTTTTGTTTTTTCATTTGGCGTTCGTTTTGATCCCGATTAATTAATCGGATTACAAAGAAAGTGCTTTTAGTATATCTTTCAAATTTGAAATATAAATTGTATAATGAAAAGTGAGTAGAAAAATAACTTATAACCTGTTTTTCAACTTGAATTTAAAATTTTCATATTTAAATATTAATTTTCAAATAATTAAAGTGTAAATTATTTTTAAAAATATTTAAAAAGAATATTTTTTATGATCATACCTTATCATTAATTAGCAACTTCGGATTAGTTAAAGATTTCAAAGCTCCACATAAGAACACTTTCCTTCAATATATAAATATTTTCTTTTAATTTGTATAGTGAATATAGTTGAAGATTTGAAATATTTTCCTTGTCTGAACTCTCTTTGTCACTACACTTACCTCACTATACACTATAATATTTTTTCACAATTCTCATCTTTTTTGACATATCCTTCACAAAGAAAGAATTACCACTATTTTATAGGGGAGAAATTTTTCTTTGTATTGAATAAGAATAATGTGGATCTTAGGCTCGTAGGTGCTCACTCTATTATTATAAGTTACTATAAATCACAGTGTATAATTGTATATGTACAACTATTTAAAAGTTATAGTTAAAAACTCTTGATTTCTTAGAAAATCCAATTTTTCCTAACTTCTCTTACCAAGTACAACTAATAATTCACTCTTGTAAGCACTCTCGTTTATTTTATGTTAAAGAAATAAGCACTACACAACCATTCAAAAATTCATTACCTATACTATTACAAATTTCATTTTTTATGTATTTCATTGATGAAAAAACTTGTTCCATATAAACAGTAGCAATATGAAGAATGAGAGTAAGCACATAAACAAGTAGCAAGTTTGATGCTAATCTGACTTCACCAATACTTTAGCAAAATCACTAATTCTCTTCAAGTTGAAGAACCTCGTGTTAAAATTACGAGCATAAACTATAAAATTATCAAGATGTCAACTGAGATGTCGAAGCTTATTGCTATCAACTTAATTCATATGATACTCAGTTAACCTTATTATATATCCTGTTCTTATCAAAACCACCAAATGAACTAACTGAATTCAAGCTAGCCATACGAAGAAGTAAGTCACTATTCACATCATAAATACAATTATTACGCTCTTGAAAATGCAAATTATAAAAGACATAACAAATCTGAACGAGCAAATGATGAGAATATGTTATGTCAAGAGATTTACGCTTGGACTTTTCAGGCAAGCAGTTACCGTTCATGATAATGTAGCATCAAAAAGTGATAATTCTCGCTAAAAATATATATTTAATAGCAATTAAATTGTTATTATTAATTAACTGTCACTAAATATTATATTTGTTTTGTATCTATACATATTGATACATAATTTGCAAATAGCATTTTAAAATTTATATCAAATGTTGAACACCCGACTAACTCACGAATCAGGCAAATCACTCTTTGATAGGGGTGGGTAAAATCAGTCTGAATATTCATGATCCATCTAATTCATTTATGTTTGGATAAATTAATAATCCATTTATTTTATTGTATGGACTTCTTATTTGATCTGTTTATTTCATCCCACTTTAATTAAATTTCAGCTAATTTCATCTCACTTTAATTAAATTTCGGCTAATATAATGCTTTTCAAATTGATTCAAGAGAAATTACAAATGTCTTTTTCAAAACATTCAAATAAAATTTCTCATAAATCAATTGAAATGCTTTTAATATGACACTATAAAAAATAATTTATTTTATGTACAAAAAAATACATGTTGTGAACGAGGCATATGTTTCTGAAGATTACAAAGGCTTCATTAATTAGTTTTCAAGAATGAGCTCTAACTTCCAATCCAAATTATTGTCCATTAAATTATTCTATTTGTAGATAATATATCTTAAACAAATATGAAACAGTTGAAGAAGTTATAATAATTTAAATAAATTATACGAACTATTCAAACTTATTTATTTTCTGAGGGAAAAACAATAGTAAAATATAAAGCGATATTCAATTAATAGAACTTTCAAAACAATGAGCCAATACATTTAATTTTATAAGAAGAATATATTTTTCTCCTATGTTTTCAAACATGACTATGAATTTCAGTAAATTAATAGATAAAAATTTTAACTTTAATATTTATCTTAAAATTTTAAAACTAAGAACAAACAACAATTGTTATTTTTGGATTTTGATTTAAGTTTATCTTTTTAAAATTACTTAGTTACTTAATATTTTAGTTGAATTAATACCTTTAAAATCATTTTATATTTATCATATATATTAAGAATAGGAAATAAAAAAATTATATGAAAATCTATGCTCGATATATAATATTGTTTAAAATTAATTGAGAAAACAGTAACTACAGTAACAACATAAAGTTATATACTATATTGTCTTTTATCTCCTATCATTAAAGTTTTGAGTTATGCCAGCCAATAATATTTAAAATGTACCAATCATACGTGCAAAGTTATGCAAATGAAAAAGTAATCCAAATGTTTAAATTAATATGTGAGTAAGTAGTGTTTGGTTAATGAACAGTTTAAAAAGAGTTGCCTTTTATGCATTTATTAAATAATTATCTATGCAGAAAATACTTTTAAATATTAATTAAACTGTGGGTGTGTAATAAAAAGCCGTTTATTTTGGATACATTTGGAATTGAACTTTTTCTCCAACGCATAAATTCTTTTAATTTTAATTACTACAAAAATCACTTTTACAACTTATTATTTAGTTTGTCGTTTAGTAATTTTTTAATTTTTATTTTTGAAAATGCTAGTTATCCAGTGACTTTTAGAAAGTATTATTTAGTTTGTAGTTTTAAAAAATTAGCAATGTTTGAGTATTGGTTTTCAGAATTTTGAAGATAAGAATAAATTATAAATATATTCAAATAAGAATGTTTTAACTTTTACAAAAATAAGAAGTTAGGAATAGAAAGAAAAATCTTTTTTAAAACAACACTAATATACTGTTTTAAAATATATCACTGTTAATTTTTGGAGCTGCTTAAAATTTTTAATTTGTTTCTTTGAATTGTAATTTATTATTTAAATTAATTGATAGAAATTTGAGAGATCCCCATAAGTACAATCTTCTCAAGCCTAAAGTACTACTCCGTGATAGTTTTTTTTTATCTGCTCACAAGAACTGGAACGAAGCTTTGGTTCATAGATGCACCGCTTATTGTTAGTTCAATGTCGGAATTACTGTCACACTCAAGCAATTGCATCAAATTCTCAGATTTCTCAATTTGCTCGTTTGGGTCAAATTCAGAATGCCCGAAGGGTGTTCGACGAAATGCCCAAGAAAAATGTGACTTCTTGGAACTCTATAATAACTGGGTATTTCCAAAATCACCTACCCAATGAAGGCCAGTGTATGTTTGATCAAATGCCTGAGAGAAACATTGTTTCATGGAATGGGTTAATTTCAGGTTATGTTAAGAATAGGATGGTGAAAGAAGCAAGGGAAGTGTTTGACAAAATGCCCCAACGAAACGTCATTTCTTGGACTGCTATGGTCAGAGGGTATGTTGAGGAGGGGTTTGTTGAGGAGGCGGAAGCCCTGTTTTGGCAAATGCCTGAAAAGAATGTTGTGTCATGGACTGTGATGATAGGTGGGTTGATTCAAGAAGGGAGAGTTGATGAGGCTAGAAGGCTTTATGACATGATGCCAGTAAAGGATGTAGTTGTGAGGACTAATATGATATGTGGATATTGTCAGGAAGGTAGGCTGGATGAGGCGCGCGACCTCTTTGATCGCATGCCGAAAAAGAATGTGGTGTCTTGGACGGCCATGGTATCAGGATATGCCCAAAATGGTAAACTGGATATTGCCAGAAAACTTTTTGAAGTCATGCCTGAGAAGAATGAGATCTCATGGACTGCAATTATAATAAGCTATGTGCAATATGGTAGATTTGAAGAGGCGTGGAAGCTTTTCGAAGTGATGCCTGTTAGAACTACTCCTGCTTGTAATGCCATAATTCTTGGAATAGGACAGAATGGGGAGGTCGCTAAGGCGCGGATGGTGTTTGATCTTTTGAAGGAGAAGGATGATGCAACATGGAGTGCAATGATAAAGGTGTATGAAAGGAAAGGATATGAGTTAGAGGCGCTGGATTTGTTTCACCAAATGCAAGTAGACAGGTTTCGGCCAAATTTCTCTTCGTTGATAAGCATACTTTCAATTTGTGCTAGTCTTGCAAGTCTCAATTATGGTAGAGAGATACATGCACAGTTAATCAGAACCGAGTGTGATGATGACGTGTATGTCTCTTCTGTATTAATTACGATGTACATCAAATGTGGTGATTTCGTCAAGGCCAAATTAATATTTGACAGATTTTCTCCAAAAGATGTGGTCATGTGGAATTCTATCATAACAGGTTATGCTCAACATGGATTAGGAGATGAAGCTCTAGAAGTGTTCAGAGAAATGTGTTCTTTAGGTATCACCCCAGACGAGGTTACCTTTGTTGGAGTTTTATCTGCATGTAGCTACACTGGGAAAGTGAAAGAAGGGCAAGATATCTTTGACTCCATGAATTCAAAATATCAGATGGAGCCAGGATCTGCACATTATGCTTGCATGGTTGACATGCTTGGTCGAGCTGGTCGATTGAATGAGGCGATGGATATGATCAACAAAATGACTGCAGAAGCAGATGCAATTATTTGGGGTTCTTTAATGGGTGCATGTAGGATGCATATGAACCTAGATTTAGCAGAAGTTGCTGCAAAGAAACTTTTACAGCTTGAACCCCAAAATTCAGGGCCCTATGTCCTACTTTCCAATATTTATGCATCCAAAGGTAAGTGGGCTGATGTTGCTTCACTTAGGAAGTCAATGCAGTCTAGGGAAGTGGTCAAATCACCTGGTTGTAGTTGGCTTGAGGCTGACAAAGAAGTGCATATGTTCACTGGTGGAGAGAGCATGCCCCATCCCGAGCATGAATCAATTCTCAAAATATTAGAAAAGTTGAGTCCTATGTTAAGAGAAGCTGGTTATATTCCTGATGGAAGCTTTGCTTTGCATGATGTGGAGGAAGAAGAGAAGTTGCATAGCTTGAATTATCACAGTGAGAAACTAGCTGTGGCCTATGGACTTCTTAAATTGCCTCAAGGTATGCCTATACGAATAATGAAAAATCTTCGAGTTTGTGGTGATTGTCATTCTGCTATTAAGTTAATCGCTAAAGTCACAGGAAGAGAGATAATTCTGAGAGATGCCAACAGATTTCACCATTTTAAGGATGGGGTATGTTCTTGCAAGGATTTTTGGTGACTGCTCTGTTGCTTTGTGCATAATTCATTAAAAAGCGGCTTTGGTGCTGTGGTCAATGGTGACTTTCAATTAGCATTCAACTGTATGCATTCACATCTAATAGATTGTGGAAGAGTATCATAAAACCCACAATTGATGAGCATTTCATCTCAAATCACTGGAGATATAGTCTGTGTTTGTCGAACAAGTACAGAGGATTGTGTTGTAAACTCAAAAAAGACATTTGTGAACATAAAAGAATGCAAAGATTAAGATGGAGCTAATTTTTGTTCGAATTATAGAGATGGAAGGGTTGAAGGTTAGAAATCTTGAGCTTAATGTCTAATCTCATGCTAAACAATGTTCAGCACCAAGCCAGGCCACTCATTATTGCAAGTATGCAACCTTCAGGACTGGAGTTCCACTTGCTGGAGCTGGTTTCCTGAGCATGAACCCAGTCAGAAAATTAGCATGAACTGGGATTAGGGCTGGGAACTTAGCTTTTGAACTATGCTGAACAGACACGACTTATACCTCAGCTTGTCCTTTTTGCTATGCATTGCAGCATCAGCCATGCTGATGAACTGAAATGGCCCTAATCTATCAAAAACAATCTTGATTCCCATCTTGGCATGCTTAAATGTGTTGGCATTATTGCAGCTACTGTTATCTTCATCAGCCGCTTGGTAATACAGAGTCACACTGGACAAAAGTTCAAGCGAAGGTAAAAACTGTCCTGCCTAAGTTCACTTGAAAATTGCAAATGTTGAAAACGGGGTTTGAATAAAATAAAACCCGACTTCATGGGGATGAAATTCTGAGAAGAAAGGACTGCATTCAGCATTTAGTAGGACCTACAGGCCCATAGTGTCCAGAAAGAAGTGAAGGTATGGGAATCAAAAATATGAAATGAGCAACAAAAGTTTGCTCCTCAAATGGCACAGGAGGTACAATGAGCAGGGATGAATTCTGCCTTACGGAAGAGTGTGATAGCAATAAAATAAAGTGCACTAAACCAGTGGCTACTTCATACAGAATTGCATTATAACAACCAATTCGTAGGAATTTATAGAGAAAACTGAAGACTGGAGGAGCTTTTTCCTGAATATAGTCATCTTCACAATCTCAAGATGCTACATCGAGGTGGATCAGGACTCCATTAAGAAAGAGAAAAAGAACCAAATGCTACGTGGGGTGGGTTGAATGAAGCCTTTTCGGGTTTAGACCAAACCGCATCGCAACAGCCCTGCCCCATTGCCATCTCTACTACCTTATCAACTATGGTCGCATCAGTTGTTTAGTTAAGCAAATCTGGGCCATTAAAATTTAAATGGGAGATGTGCAGAGCTAGTGAAGAAGAGCCTGATACACTCAAGAGTCAAGATTATAGGCTTAACTGTTATTGCAGAGTGAGTTCTAGATCTCATCATTATTGCAGAGAACAAAGATCACTCCGAACACTCCAAGCTTCAAATTTCGCCCTTTGTTGTAGCTCCAACTTTCCCCGTTTCTCATCAACCAAATCAATAAGCGTGATGGCCATACGACGTGTGCGTCCAATGAAGCTTACGATTCACAAATTTAGCGTATCTCACTATGTTTAAAATCTTCAAAGATTAATAATGTATATGGAGTAGTAATGCTGAGATTAATAATATAGGGATTAGTATGCAAGGTTTATTTTTACCAAGTATTTGGTTCATTTGTTTCCCACCCCATCTTGTTTTTGGACTTTATAACAAAAACTTCTTTACAATTACACTTTTGAATTATTATTTAATTATCGGACAATATTATATTTGTTATTACCTTCTAACAACTAGTTATGAGAAAAATAATTTTATTGTCATGCCCTTTTTTCACCCTTTTATGGTCACATAAAATAAAAACAAATACAAACATTTTCTTAGAAAATGCATTATTAATGTCCTTCCTATCGGTGCAAATATTTCTTAAGGTGTTGCATCAAAATTGTGATGTTTGTAGGATGTGTGGCTTAGAGGCTAAATAGTTGACCTTACGTTTTTCAGTTGGCAGGCTCCCATTAACTGGCCCGATTTTTAAAAAAAATGTTATGAATTTTGCAACACACTTATTTTGTCAATATTCAAAATTTATTGAGCTACTAAGATTGAGTGTCCCTCTTTTATGGAAAGCAAGAAAATTTGTTATGCTTTAATGGTGGGTACATATGCATATAATGACATAAATAGTAAGACTTGATTTGATTTATATGAATATTATGATGTTGTGGCGAAATTCAATAAATGTGAATTATATACCTAACAAGATTTACTATGTAATTACTTTGGCCTGAGATAGGGTTGTTGTACCCATATTCAATTTGTAAGGAATACTATAACAGTTGAGGCACGAAGTTTTTGAAAAAAATACTACAAAAGAATTGGTCAAAGTTTCACATACTGTCAAATGCAAAGAATGTCATACAAATGTTGCAAAAGTCTTTTCACTGTTTGAAATATTGAAGTAAAAAATATTACTTTTTTGTTGGTAAACTATTTACTAATATCATATTTGTATGAATAAATTGACGGATACAAGTTGTAAGTTTTCTTGCTTTTTCTCGAGGAACTGGATGTATTTTTTCATCATATTAATATGCAAAAAATTGTAATTTATAGCACTTTTCATATAATTTTAAAATATCTAAATTTTTGTTTAAAATATCAAATTAATGTCCTTTGAAAATTAATCAAATTGGACAAATATTTCCGGACGGAGGGAGTAGTAACAAATGAAGACCCATTTATGATCACACAAGTTGTTTGATTCTTGGAGACACCTTAGGCAGCAGCAGATCTGAAAAAACAAACACCTTCAACTCTATCTCAAGAACCATTAAAATATGGACTTTTATCAGTAGAAAATAACAAGGAAAGCTCAATAACATCTTGGAAAACCCATGATCTAAATAGAATCATCATCCTAAAGGATCCAACATCAGTTGCTATGGAATCAGAAGTGATTTCACCAAAACCATTACTAAATGAACAAACAACTGAACCAACCACATCGGAAAAGGAATTGACAATTTACATTCAGAAAAAAACTAAAACTCCTGTATATGGTAAAGTACTTGCAACCAAATGCTTAAAAAAGAAGCTACTTTACAGGGGAGATCAGACTATGAGGTCGAAATCAACCCAATTCTGCCCCAAACGCGAAGATGATGAAGAAGAATCATTGTGATCTTGATGATATGATGACGATGAGGTAGGATTAGTGTGGGAATAACTTCGGTATGAATAGAGATTAGGAGGGTAACAGATGAAAGTGCAGAAGCAGAGAGCTAAACGACCAATCTGTTGAAAAGGATAACAAATAACAAGATCCAACAGTTGCTGACTGCTTACTGGTTCTGGCAAACATGCCAGCAACTGCCAAATCTCTGCTGAAATTTTTGCCACTGACACCACCAATACCCCATTGAATGTCATATTTTTTTTCACTTTTCTGCCAAACAGAATGTAATTGTGTGGTCTAAAAAGTTGGAGACCATATGGAATAAATGGCCAAAAGTGGACTTTGGGTAAGTTAAGTGTCCCAAAATGAAATTCATAAAACATTCAGATCTTGATACGCAATAATATTCATATATATTTGTAATAAATAATAGAGGTCATAATTCACTCAAAAGAGAAAACATTATTAGCAGATGCCACTTGCCATCATGATAAAACTATGGATTTATTCGGTATGCATCTCATCTAGTCTGACTCGATATAACGTTATAACCAATAATTTACGTGGAGTTAAAAAATTTTAATTTATGAATTTTAATTATAATTATTAGATTTCTTTTTTTTTTTGCTTACTAAGTTCTTGTTATATTATCTATACATATTATCTAATTTATATATAAATTTGAGCTAAAATTATTAAATATTTTATTGAATCCGCGATAATAATTGGTGGCTATGCACAAGTGAAATTATTGAATAATTTTATTGAATCCATAATAATAATTGGTGGCTATGCACAATTGGTTATGACTGTTTGAAAGAGACTAAAAAACATAGTGTAAACATGTGGTTTTCCTATTTTGTTGGAATAGCTAACTAATCAAAATCAAACAACTCATCACAATATATACGGTGAGGCCTAGATGAGTTGGTCAATTATGAAATTAAACGAGTCAATATATTCGACATTAAAACAAATTATTCCTTGAAAGTTAAAAAAATTTAATTATTAAGTCACTCTAGTTAATTTCTTTAATGGTCAGTTAAATTATAAAAATGAATCAATAAAATCAATTTTGTATTAATAGAATCACTTCCTAATTTATATCAGCTTACCTTTTGATAAGTATTATATAGTACGATAAGAAAAAAATTCAGTTTTGATTGAGACATGCTTAATACTATAATCAACTCGTCTTTTTGACACTTCAAAATAAATCTATAAAATTCACAAGATAACGATATTATCATATGAAACCTACTTATTTAATAAAATTTTGTACTACCTCAAACCGTCTGACTCGATTTTCCAAATAATAATTGCATTAACTATCCTCAAAATAATATTCGTTTAACCAGTAATTAAAAAGGGTCTTTGGCTTTTTCAAAGACACAATTTTTTAAAAGACACGTAATTTTCTTATTAAATAGTTAATAAATCAAAATAAAGCAACTCACCACTATATAGATGTTTAGGCACTTATGGCAGCTTGTACATCATCCACACAATCAAGTCAATATTTAAAATATTTTTTCCACGAACAATTGTTTAAAAAGATGAATAAACTTAGTCATTTAGTTATTAAATATGGATTGTAAATTTGTAATAGGATATTTGAGATTTCTTAAATCAGAGATTTTAAGTTTAATTAAAAAAAAATTACGTTAGACTGCATCAACTCATGTTATTCCATTTTCAAATACTGAAAACTAAAGTATTAACAATAAATTAATAATATCAATCACTATTTTTAGGATAAACATTTGAAAGTCCAAATGCATTGATTGATTCATTATATATATTTCATCAGTTTAATTAGGTAACTATTTATATAAATTATTATATTTCAAACTTTTAATAATGGCAAAGGCACACGATTTTTGTTTTCTTTATTCATACCAATTGAGAATTTAAAAACTTAAAAAAATTTTAAAAAGAAGAAATTAAAGTGATTGGTCATGCATTTATAATTGGAAATCAACTTTGTTTGTCCACAGGCCATTAAATCAATTGCTTCCAGCCAAATTTTTCTAGGGAACGACTGAAATAATACAAGACAGAAAAAGGAAAAGAAAACTTACGTAAATATACTATAATTAAAAAAATATTTTTTTTTCACTTAATCACTTTTAATAAAAATTTAATAAAAGTTTACAAAGAATAATTTATTATTCACATATAATACAAATTTTAATGATGAATAATACATTTTATCATTTTAATACACTTATAATACAATGTGATATTTTTTTACCAAACAAACATGATATATTTCAAAAAATAATTACTACATTAATTTAATCTAAATACGAATAGATCAGTCTTCATGTGAAGTCCACTAAACTTGGTGCATCTCAAATTTATCATTAAAAGTCTTTTATTCACCTTTTATTTAAATTGCAATCAATTAATTAACCACAATTGTGGTATAATGATTAAAAGTTTTTTATCCTTTACTATCATAAATTTTGATTTTGAATTTTAAATATGAAAAATATTCTATTAAGAAGTCTCCGTTGATAAACCTTATGTAACATGATTCAAATTAACTAGATATAGAAAAACAATCAATTAAACTTGTTTAGAAGTAGCTAAGAATTTTTGGAGTTCGAATGTCACCAAAGAGGCGAAGCTAGAACACTTCATTTCAGATAAATTCTTTAAATTGCTTAAACAATAAATTCGTATTAATAAATTCATTAAATATATAAAAATATTAAATCTAAAATTCGATTATTATCAATTTTTACTGTTATTATAAATTTTAAAAATCAATAAAGGCGGCTTAGATTGACCCAAAATATAATATGCTTCAAGATAATTAATGTAACAAGACATTATAATCAATTACTTTTATAAAATAGAAAGCAAAATTGAATATTTCTTACGCGCCATTGATCTATTTGTTTTTTGATTATTTGGATAAGTAATAATTATATTTTTATTTTGATCTATTTTGTATAGATTAATTTTGAGTGCATATGATTGCTATGTGTTTGAGTTATTCTTGTTATTTCACCTCTGTATCATAAAATGTTGCGTTAATGACTTGTATTTTCAGTCTTAGTTCACTGTTGTCTAAGTATCTCTTGAATCTGCTATATTTTTTGGTTTATTCGTTTGTGGATCTTCATCGCATAGGCTTATCAGTCTTACTTGGTTTGAGTGCTTTAATCACTGTTTGAGTCCCTCGTTTAAGCATATAGAATTATGTTCTTGCTACTAGGATTCTTGATTCAAACATGTTGCCATTTCTTTAAGATTTATTGTTAGCATAGATTAATATTGAGTGCAAGATTCAAGCTCTCTGTTAGTAATTGATTGCTGTGTGTTTGAATTATTTTTTGTTATTTTCACCTCTGTCTCGTATCAATGTTGCATTCATTTTATCAATTAATCCAACTTACTCTTTTATTCTCTCACAACTTCTTGTTATTTTCACCTCTGTCTCACAAAAAACAAAAATATCT